TCTACCACCGAATCTCTCCCTCTCCATCTCTGACCTTATCTTGTCCCTTTCCAACTCTTGCTGTAGCCAAGCAAGTTTTGAGTTAACTGATTTTATACTCCTAAACATATTTCTATATTCTCGTTTTACAAACAAATGAGTACCTAACATAAAAAGCTCATTACCATCTTCAACTCCAGGTAAAGTTAACAACATCTCCATACATTCTTCAGAGGTATCAGGATATGTTTCATAATTTTTCTTTGATGAATCACTCAAAGTAGTTGTGGTATAACTTTCAACTGCATCACAAAGACGATTCAATTGTTTCTGCATGTATGTTGCACCCCCTACTTTCACTTTCTTCCGTTTGCCAGTAAGTGAAGGACCAATTGTGTTTTTCTTCCTTTTTTCACTGCTTCCACCAGTTTGTGTTGGGATGACATTCACCTCATCAAAATCACCACTTCCTTCTTCCAAATCAACAGCATCTTCAAACCCCACATTCTGTTGTACTGGAGGAATAGGCACAGCAACTAGAGTCCATGCAGTTTCACCGGTGACTACTATTTTGTCAAACATTTGCTACAACTCCACTATGTTTTCTAATCCATGATGCTCAAATTTACCATTTTCTTTGTTCTCCTATAATAAATATATAACATATTAGAAGTTTAAAGTTAAAATTAACAAAGTCACATGTAAAAAACTAAAAATCATTAACAATAAAAGACTACAACTAACCGCTTTCAATTCAGCCCATCGTTGAGGAGTAGCATCAATTGTGCCTTTTTCATGATTCCACCCGAGTCCTGTTTCTCGCTTTAAGAGTTGATTCCACAAAACCCAATCACTTTTTAATGCATCCCACCAATTTTTTAGTTGTTTATAAAGATAATGCTTGTTTGTTCTATCATTAAATTTTTTTTTCACATTTGTCCACCCTAATCTATTAAAAGTACTATTAGGACGATTATCGACGATAACCTCTTCCACACATATCTCGCAGAAAATTTTTGTTGTAAATGCATCCCACACTGCCTTTGATCTTTTTTTAGTCATCTTATATATTGAAAATTTTTTTGCCTTAAAACAAGATCTACAAACACATAAAAACAAATGTTGAATAATGGAAGTATAGACACACATAATAACACCAAAAACAGAGCTAAAACTAGGACCCCTCATCTCCTACCACAGTAAAAATATGTGTCCCTCAACTTTTGCTTTTCACTTTAGATTTCCCTCTATTGATTTTCTTCATTTTCTCAAAAGCCATACAGACCCAATAAATTATTTCAATCTTTGAAACCCAATTTTTAGTTTGAACCCTTAATAGCATTCTCAACCGCAAATTAAAACTGGATGAACAACTCAAATTCAAAAATTATGACCATGGTTTATGAATTCATGCATAAATCTTCAATTACAAAACAAGGGGAAATCAATCAACACAAAACAAAGGATCAAATCATAGTCATAGAAATCTCAAATGCCAAAGAAACTTAAAATCAAGACTATAAAAAAGAAATAAATTAAATGCAAGTGTTGTTTATGTACCTGGAAATTGAAGACAATGGAATGGCACAATGCTTTGAGAATCCAAAGTCCCGTGGCCGGAACACCCTCCGCTTCACTCCCCTCTGGTATTGCTGCTTCGTTTGGCTTCACCGACCCATGCCCTGCTTTGTTGCGTCGCCCAGATCTGCAAGAAGAGAAGGAACAACAAGGGATTAAAAATTACAACTTTCACCAAAACTCACAGTACCAACCAACCATCATCATTCATCACCACCAAATTGGTAGCAGAAACACCAAAAAAGGAAAAAAAAATCAGAGAAAAGGAAGGATACTCACAGAAGGAGGAGAAATGGGATTTTGGTGGGGATTTTCTGGTGAGGGGAAATGGACTTTTCTGCTTTGAAGTAGTTAGGGAGAAAGACGGTCGGTGACTGAGATGCTTTGGTATGTCTGATTTGCTTTGGAAGAAGGTGGGCAAGAAGGGAGGTCGGCTGCTTCAGAGACAAAGAAAGAAAGGAAGACAGGGGAAATGGGTTTTCTACTTGGAAGTTGTTAGGGAGAAAGAAGGCCGGTGACTGAGAGGCTTTTATGTTTCCGATCTGCTTTGGAAGAAAGTGGGCAAGACGGAGGAAGAACAGGGCACCTTCGGCTGCTTTAGAGAACAAGAAAGGAAGAAACACGGGAAACAAAGAGGAAGTTATAAAATGGCCCTTTATATAGTGGCTTTTTTTGTAAATAAAAAGAAATGTGAGGACAAAATGGGGATACCAGGTCAATTTCATTAAACGTTTAAGCGAGAAGCTCCCGCGGAAGTAAGAATTGGGAGCTTCCGGCCTTTGCAAAGGAAAAGTGAGAAGCTGAGCTTCTCAAAAGTTGCAGCCACTTTAGGAAGCTACCCCGTTTGGTGTGGCTTGTGCTTTTAGAGCCAAAAAGCTCTTCCCACAATCCACACCAAACAGGCCCTTAGTGTCTGTTTGGTGCAGATTGTGAAAAGAGCTTTTTAGTTCTAAAAACAGAAGCTGCACCAAATGCGTAGCTTCTCAAACATGCTACAGCTTCTTAGAAGCACATCTTCTTTCCATTCCTTTGCAAATCCTAGAAGCACTAATTTCGTGTTTCTGCGGGAGCTTCTCACTTCATGTTTAATGAAATTGATATGGTGTTCTCATTTTATCCTTATACTTCCTTTTATTTATGAAAAAATTACTATATAAGGGTTGAATTTATAACATCACCCACCATCACCAAGCAGCCCAAGCACATCTGTTTCTTCTTCCTCATCCAATCAAGAAATAAACCGAAAACACTCATCCAATTAGAGAAACGAATTGAAAATACTTAACTATCTTCTTAACTATCTTATTCCTCATCCAATCAAAGAAACAAATTGAAAATATTTACCGTATTCTTTCTCGTCTTCTTTCCCCCTAAACTGAAAATTCCTTATCTTTCGTTCGGAGACAAACCCAGGAGCTTGGTTCAAGACGAACTAAGCGCAGGGTTGGTCGCAAACCCTTCCCCTGGGTACCAAGATGAACCAAGGAGCTGGGTTTGCGACGAACCCTACACTTGGGTTCGAGACAAATCCCATGCTTGGGTTCGCGACAAACCCAAGAGCTGGGTTCCAAGACGAACCTCGTGCCTGGATTCGCGCGAACTCAAAGATAAAAAAAAAAAAAACAAAGGAAGGGGAGAATAATAAACCTTTAAAATATTTATATTGATAATTATATAATTAAATGATTTTAAGGTTATATTAATAAAAAATTTAACTATATTATTAATTTTTATCATATG